TTCATGTACTGTAGAATGGAGTAAAGTTTCTGTAGTGCACTTTAAAAATACACCAGGGAAAAAACTCTGGGTTATTCCTGCTTCAGGAAAAGGCAACCTCACCCATGGGATTGCTTTTGCTTAGGAACCCGGATGTACTTGGTGGGTAATACAAGAGGATGGTTAACTTCGATGTGTGCCTCAAAGGGATTTGATTTTGTGTAAGAATAGTCAACAAATGAAAATGTATTATGTTAATTTTTATGTAACACTGTATATCATCACTTATATAGTGGCTGTATGCCCATCATTGCACTGGAGCTCTCATAGTGCCTTTCTCCACTTTGGATACGGGGATCTGAACCCAACTCCCTTTCAATAGCACTATCAAGAGTATAGTAAAAGTCACTCAGATTAATGAAAAATGAACTTTGATGAAACCACACAACCTCAGAGGTAGTGGAATCAGAATGGGCTTCAGCATGCAACAATCCAACGCCACACACCATTTTTCCTGCTCTAAAAGGCTTTTACAACCAATGGTGTCCAAAATCATGGGTCAAAAAACTCAATGGGCAGTTTATAGGGATGGCCCATAGACTAAGGAAGTGATAACTGTGCATATATATCAGAAGACAGGAAAGGCAATGGTGGTGAACTGGGATGTATTACAAACTGTGGGACCTGGGCATGACTTAAATGGTATAGAAAAATAGGTGGACACTGTCCTGGTTTTTACTGGGATAAAGTTATTTTTCCTCCTTGTAGCTGATACAGTATGGTGTGTTTAGATTCAGTATGATAATAAAGTTGATAACACAGTGATGTCTTGGGTGTTCCTGAGCAGTACATACCTTAAATCAAGGACATTTTTTAGTTTCCCATGCTCTGCCAGTGAGGAAGTGCACAAAAAGCCAGGAGGGATCATGGCCAGGACAGCTGATTTGGACTTTCCAAAGGGATATTCCATACCATAGAGTAACATATTCAGCAGGTGAACTGCGGGTTATTGACTGGGAGGAGCCAATCACTGCTTAGTGACAGGCTAGACATCAATCAGCATATGGTGAGCAATTGTGTTGTGCATCACTTATTTCTCTTGGGTTTTATTCTTTTCTCTCTTCTTTTATTAGTCATTATTACTATTATATCTCACTTTATTTCAATTATTAAACTGTTCTTATCTCAACCCACATGTTTCACCTTTTTACAGTTCTCCTCCTCATACCAGTGGGGTGGGGTGTGGAGGGGAGTAAGCAAGTGGCTGTGTGGTACTTAGTTGCCATCCGGGATTAAACCACGGCAGGAGGAAATCTTGTAAGAGAGTGCTTTCAATGTGCAAGGAGGGTGGGAAAAGAAATTGAAGCACTTCAAATAAAATTTAGAAAAAATATGTTGTTAAATTTAGTTAACATAGTCATAACAATAATATATTGCTACTAGTACAGTTTCATAGAATTAAGTGCTTTTCAAACATAGTATGGAAATAAAATAATTGGCACTTGACTGAGTTTTGTTCTGAACACTGGCGCACAACCATAGTTCTTTTTGATGCTCTTGAATGTGAATTCTGCTTTCATTTGACTGTTGAGGTTGTCCAGTCTACTCTGAATAAGGCTGATTTCCTGGTTACCTGGCATGCCTAAAATATATATGGGAAAAAATACATATCACGAGAACTATTATATCATAATTAGCTATATATGATGCTTTTCCCATTTGATAGGATCTTTGTAACTTTCAATGATGTGTGAAAGAGAAATAATTTCTAATGTTACTTTACATTAAATAGATTAAGTACATAATGCTACAATTTATTCTTCTAATACCAGGTATTGCAGAGGGTAAAAGCTTACATTAATTAAAAAAACACTCAAGCTCCAACAGAATTTAACCTACAACAGCACTGGTACTGATACAATCCAGCTATAGCCCCATAGTATAGCCCATTACATTCTGAGGTTGTGTTAACTACACTTATAATTCTCTATAAATGTTCATATTGCACTGCCACTGTTTGGTGATCTCTCTAACGCTTTACCTAGTGCACGCTGATGACTTTTCTGCTCATGTTACTGGAACATCTCAATAGTCTCAAGTTTTATCTATTTACCAATTTATCAAATTTACTGAACTTGGCAGAGACATCAGGAAGTATTTACAACCTTATATTAACTATGAAAAAATGTCTTAATATTCCAAGAAAAGCTTAGTTTTGTAGCTTTTGTGTTCCTATATATCTTCAAAGCTACATCTTTTTTCCTGTGAGCTCTCTGTAGATGTTTATAGCATTCCAAATAATGTGTCATCAGAGCATTAGTTGCATGAGAATATGTCTCTTGTGATCCATTGAAATACTTAAAGAAATGTTGTCTTAGGACCTAGATAGATGGGAGCTATTTCTGTTTATTACTGGTTTAATTTATTGTATAAATAAACTGAACTTTTGTATTTTTCTTCACTAGGAAAGAATTATAACTGAGATTCTTGTGTTTTAATAAAGATACTTTGATTAAGTCAGTGGCTCATCCTTTTTCAGTGTGAATCCTTCACACTGAATTCTGTTTTCACTTCCTCAGTCTGCATAAACAAAAGGTGAACACTGGGACAATATTCCTCAAGTGTTGGTCAAAAGCAGAAATGATACTAAACTTGATATCTGTCCCACTAAAGGAGCAGTAGCAACAAGGATAGAAACTCTGAATGTGTAACCTATCTCATTATTCTTTGTGTGAAATCAGAAGCTCCTAAAAATATCCCATAACATCTTGTAGTTCAAGTGTACACAGCTGGATATTATTATTTGAGGGAAAGATGTGTCACTATAGTGGAAAATGCAAGAAGTGCAAACAGCATGATTAACAAAGAGTTTAGACTCCATCTTCCAATTAAGATAACCTCAGGAAGGAGTATCTTTGGAGAGCACTGAGGGATGAAGAAACTCTGCAAGCCTCAGACATGTTAACTAGGAAAAAACTTTATTGATCTTATCATTCCAGATGAATTCTTCATTTTAATTTGAATATGACATAATTCCCAGACAAAGCATTTTTAACAGAAAGTGTCTTTCCACCTCTCCTAACATCTAGTTAGCTGCCAATGGTTTGACTTCAGTTCTCTTGCAATTGCTGACATTTGCACAATTTTCCCTAAATTCTTAGTCTGAAGAACAATCTTGGATTGTTCTGTTCAGTTATGTTATGTCATTTACAAAAATGTTATCTCATTTGCAAGAATAATTCAAACAAAGCTGTTTAATTTTACATTAGAGAAGTGGACCTTCCCTGCCTCCTAAAGCATTCACATCCTCCTGTGACATCACCTGAATGATCAGGGAAACGATGACCCAAGACATCATTTCTATACGACTGAGGTCTGCTCATCCCAGTGGTTGTAGGAGTCTCTTTCAGATCTGCACAGTATAAAAATCACATATAACAAGTTTGTTCTGAAGGAGAGGTTACTTGTACGGCTCAGAGCCAGTTCTTCACATCACTGTGATGTAACAACTATTCAGGGAATGCTTAAATTAAGAAATTTCCTAAATTTGTGTCTATATCAAACTGTTAGCATCCTGTCAAATGCCCACAGAACAGCTGATTCCCATAGGCTAGTCAGATGAAGAGTGCTAGAACTCTGGTAATGAAGTGCTAGAACATTGGTATTGAAGAGTGAAGAACAAGTGTAACTACATAACAAAAAACTGACTCACAAGAAAAGAATGGTTTTCAATTAGCATTCCAAACACCCTTCATCCACTGTGCTCATACTGACAACACCTGAAGAACTACTTGTCTGCTCTTGTCCAGCTGTTGGTAATTGCAAGACATCTGTAATCAAATCATGGACAACCAACTTATCAGAGAAATTAAAGACTGTTCCTCTCAAAAGGGTTCTGACTGAGAAATTATGGAATTTTCAAATCTAAAGGAACACTTTCATAAATTTCTGGAGTGCTGTAGGAACTTAAGATGAACTGCAGTGACTTAATGGCAATTGATATTAAACACAGGCACATAGGCTGAAGACTCTCATTAGCACAGCTGGAAACAGACAGTGAAATAAAATGTAGATGCTAGTGATTTATAACAGCATTTTCACTATGAGAAATCCCTGTGATATAACTTAAACTGCTGTAGCCTGCACATTCGAAAGTGGAGAGGTTGCCAAAGACATTCAATTTCTTTTGCTTCGTATACATCTCTGTAACACACAAACCTATCCTTAAGCCCAAGATTTTGCAATGTACCAGTTCAAATTTATCAGAAGTCTGATGAGTAACACAGAAGGTAAAGAACAAATAATTTAAAATAATTATTATTAATATTAGCAACTATTCTTAGGTTTTCAAACTTCACATATCACAGAATCACAGGGTTGTTAGGGTTGGAAGAGACCTCTGGAGATCGTCTTGTCCAACCCTCCTGCCAAGGCAGAGTCACCTGGAATAGGTTACACAGGAACTCATCCAGGTGGGTTGTCTCCTCCACAGAGGAAGAATCCATGACCTCCCTGGGCAGTCTGTTCCAGTGCCCTGCAACCCTCAATGTAAAGAATTTTTTCGTCATGTTGAGGTGAAACTTCTTGTGTTTTAGTTTACGGCCATTCCTGCTCATCCTGTTGCTGGCCACCACTGAAAAGAGTCTGGCACCATCCTCTTGACACCTGCCTTTGAGATATTTATATGTACTGATGAGATCCCCTCCCAGTCTTCTCTTCTCTAGACTAAACAGATCCAGCTCTCACAGTCTCTCCTCATGAGAGAAGTGCTCCAGACCCCAAATCATCCTTGTGGCCCTCATCTGGACCCTCTCCAGTAGCTCCTTGTATTTCTTGTACTGAGGAGCCCAGAACTGAACACAGTACTCCAAATGTGGCCTTACTAGGGCTGAGTAGTGGGGGAGGATCACATCCCTCAACCTGCTGGCCACACTATTCCTGATGCACCCCAGGGTACTATTGGTCCTCCTGGCTGCAAGGGCACACTACCAGCTCATAGTCAATTTGTCATCCACCAAGACTCTCAGGTCCTTCTCAGCAGGACTGCTCTCTAGTAAGTCAACCCCCAACCTGTAGCGATACTTGAGGTTATTCCTCTCCAGTTGCAGTACCGTACATTTGCCCTCATTGAACCTCATTAGGTTTCCACCCAATTCTCCAGCCTACCAAGGTCCCACTAAATGGGAGACAGTGTCAAAAGCCTTGCTGAAGTCGAGGTAGATAATATCCACTGCTCAGCCCTCATTGACCCATCCGGTCATGTCATCATAGAAGGCTATCAAATTGGTCAAGAATTATTTTGTCCTTCATAAATCCATGCTGACTACTCCTGATGATCCTTTCTTCTACATGCTTGGTGATGAGCTCCAGAATGACCTGTTCCATCACCTTTCCAGGGATGGAGGTGAGGATGACTGGCCAGTAGTTTCCTGGGTCCTCATTCTTGCTCTGTCAAACTAGTCTTTGTTAAACTGAGCTTTCTTTGTAAGTAACGATGACTAAAAACAACAGATGCGTTACAAATTTTAAATCATATTAAATAAAAAGCAGAAAGTGCAGAGCTAGTGCTTTATCAGAAGTAAGTGCTATAGTCAAAACTGCAGGAAGGACATGCAACTGAGGATAATTATTGGTTATGTTAAGATATGTGCATTGTGCAACTGGGATGTGTGAGTGCAGCATAAGAAAACATATCAATCATTTTCAGTCTAGTTAGTATGTGTATGAAATACAACAGTGCCCTGAATCACAGGCTTCAGTGGAAGATAGCAAGAAGTATACAGATGCTAGTTCTCCAAACCCATCCAGTTTGCATCGCTATTACCTGCATGGTTAATGTGGCAGTGCTCTTCTTGTGCTACAGTCAAGCTTACAGCTGCAGTGAAGACATGCTCTTATGATAAGCCATATGCATTATTGCAATCAAACCTCACAATTTCACAGCAGACATATCTTAATACTGCCATTCAGCATGCTCAGTGAGACTGTTTTACATGCCAAGGGCTGGGTAGAAACTCCCCGCCTCAGATATTGCACTGAACTTGATCCCATCAGGCACCTATCTCTTTCTCCACGTCTAATTATAGTTAGCATTTCCTAATGACAGGATATGGTCTCTTCTCACAAGAACAGACAGTCTCGTTACATGTTTTATTTGCACCATCTGCCTTTGTAGCTCTATCTGGGAAACATATGGGCAACTTCAGAACAAGTGAAAATAAAACATTATGTGCATCAGACTGTGGAAACAGTCTGCCACTCTTACTTGGCAGATCCCTTCCACAAGTAAATGTCACTCAGGATTGTAGCTGTCAAGTCAAATGGTGGCCCATGCAGTCCCAGGTGCCAGGCACTGAGCATGTCTGTGTATGTCAGAAAATGAGGTGTGCAGATGTGCTGTGCAGCTGCTCCATGGGTCAGCTGGCAGAGCAGCTTCTCTGTCCTGAGAGGGCACTGCAAAACGCAGGGCTGTCTTTGCTGTTGGAGAGAATAAGAGGTGAGGGAAAACTGTGCTCTAATAGTGCAACTCAGCTTCCTGCAAATTCCTCTGAACGGAAACAAAAATGTTATGCTCTGAAGCCTATCTGGTATTGAACTCTAAGGTAATATTTTGGCAATAGATAAATAATCAGCACAGTCCTGAACCCTGTTTCCAAAAATGTCTTTAAGAGGACATCAGCAGAAATGAAGGATGAAACTCTCAGCTTGATTCGTGCGTTTCAGAAAGCTTGAAAGGCAAAAGTAGTGTCCAAGATTCATACATATATTTTGTTTACATATACATACACTTATTAAATTCATATAAGGGTACAAATAATTACAAAGACAGATGAGGAAAAAGGATAAAAATAGAGTCCTTCCCTCTTTTGTTGGAAAAAGATGGTGGCTGGCAGGATTTGAAAAAGTTTTGTAGACTTTCCCTTTCTAGCTAGGATTTGGCAGAGGGTCCCCTTGGGGCAATAGTGGTGAAGCTGGGTAGCACTGACCTCTTTTCTTCCTTTCCTGGGACAAGACAATGCTTGGAATCCCTTTGCTCTGACTTAAGGGCACTGCATGAGGAGTACTGTTAATTCTTTCTCTTAGTCTCAGGGACAGCAGCAGCATCTGAATTTCTTGCACTTCCTCATGAGCCTCTGGCACTTTAACGTTTATTCAGAGTTTGGTTGACCTCTGCTGCCTTTGTGTATCTTTAAAGTTCATTTCTGTGCAACTGTCAATACATCTCTTTTGCAGCTTTGAAATAAGAAGCTTTAGGGTGACTAAAAGGATGTTTGTAACTGTTCAGTCAAGTGTGGTTGTGATTTTAAAGATCTTGCTGTTTTCAGTTGACTTTTTACCAATATTGCATCTATTTTCATCTACATCTTTGGAAAATACATTGCATTTTCTAACTACTTACCTTGTGGTTCATGAAGAAAGCTGTAAGGTAGAAATAGAGGTTGTTTTGGAGATCAAAATTTATCTCAAAAAATATTTTCTGGAGCAATCTTTCTTTACCCTTCAATCCTTTATAATCTTACAATCAGTCTTTCCCAGAGTGAGTGAAGGGTATCATCACAAAGCAGAAAGTAAACCTTAAGTTGTATAAATTAGTTTTAATATGCTGCTAAAACACAAGTAAGAGGAAGTGCCGATATAAATGCAACAGTAATTGAGCACTGAGATTGAGGTTAAGTTCTAGAAGAGCTCCGAAGGAAATAAGGGAGTAACATGGGTGAGTTTAATTCTCTACTGAAAAGAGACATGACTGTTATCTAATTTGTCACATTATATGTGGCATTTCCTCTGAAGAGATTCAGGAGTTGTAGCACCAGCTTTGTTCCTGTTTGCCCATTATACATCTGGTAAGTATGGTAAATCTAATGCAAACATTTTAGGGTGTCTTTTCCAGTTTGGAACCACAAAAAACCCACTGTGCTTGTGCTTTACCTTTTTCAGTCCCACGCAAGAAATCAATCAGTAACCTCAGATGGGATGCAGTAAGCTCAGCTGTTCTAACTCAAAACAAGACCCATTCTGTTCTCTAGAGGAGACACGTAGGCTATCACAGCATGATAAGAGATGAAAAAAGGACATATTTAATTACTAAAATGATAATTTTATCCTCAGAAAGCCTTGTCTTTCAAAATTGTGTTCGCAATGGAAAGCTCCATTGTTCTCCATCTCCTTGGTTGCTTTTTACTGTCAGAGGAATCAAAGTACCAAGTGTAGCCCAGCTGATAATCCACAAAAATTTTTTTCAGTTAGGAAACATAGCTCAGTTTTGGGCAACTGTGCTGTTCAGCAGCAGGGGATGTCTAGGATGTACCTCATAGGCAACTGTGATAATCAAACCTGGAGCTGGTGTAGTCACACGTCTCATTCCTAACCAAGGAGAGTCACAATCTTCACTCTGAAATTAAAAAAAACTTGCTATTCCTGATGGAATTGCCAGGTAGTTGCTGCAAGCCCTGGGGACTGAGCAGATGTCTTAGGAGGTTCAGCTCACAAGCACCATGCCAGCCAACTCCTCTTTTCAGCAAGGTGCACATCAGGGATATTTTCTAGTGTACCAGACTGTGCAAACCACCTGTGCCTTGTCTATCTGCCAACCATATTCACCTTTTTTAAACCAAAGTACCTCTAATAACATTCTCATACAAATATTTGGTTAGGCTTATGGCTTTTCCAACTCATATGACTGCTCATATTATTGGAGGCCTTCTGCTTGTTATCCAACTATATCTTTTTCTAGCACAGACAATTCCCTTTGATGTCTTCTCTGTCTCCCTGGTATTTAATCTGATATTTTTTCTTTTAATTTTTTGTTTATGTCCACACTTCCCCCCCCACCCTTTGTGATATCTCTATTCTCCCCTTTTCCTGTTTCTGTCTGCATCCTCACAATTCTCTTTTCTCTCTTTCCTGCTTCTTTTTATTTCTCTTATTTCTGTAACAAACCTGTAACAAACAGGTTACCCTTGGGACCAGTCCTGTCTAATATCTTTATCAATAATCTGGACAAACGTAACCTCAGTTGGTGTCTAGAAGACATCAAGTTGGGCAGGAGTGTTGATCTCTTGGAGGGTAGAAAGGTTCTGCAGAGAAGAGTAAGAAGGTTCTGCCAAGGGATCTGAACAGGCTGGATTGATGGGCCAAGGCCAATTGTATGAGGTTTAACAAGCTGAAGTGCTGGGTCATGTACTTGGGTCTCAACAAGCCCTGCAGCACTACTGGCTGCGGAAGAAGTGTCTGGAAAACTGCCTTGCAGAAAAGGAACTGGAGGTGCTGGTCAACAGCCACTGGACATGAGCCAGCAGTGTGCCCTGGTAGCCAGGAAGACCAATGGCATCCTGGCCTGTATCAAAAATGTGGTCAGCAGGACGAGGGCAGTGATTGTCCTTCTGTACTTGGCACTGGTGAGGCCACACAAGTCTTGTGTCCAGTTCTGGGCGCCTCACTGCAAGAAGGACATTGAGGGGCTGGAGCATGTCCAGAGAAGGGCAATGGAGCTGGTGAAGGGTCTGGAGCACAAGTCTTCAGGAGCGGCTGAGGGAGCTGGGGATGTTTAGGCTGGGGAAAATGAAGTTCAGGTGAGACCTTATTGCTCTCTACAATACCTGAAAGGACATTGTAGCAAGGTGGGGGTCATCGGTCTTTTCTCCCAAGCAAAAAGTGATAGAACAAGAAGAAATGGCCTCAAGTTGCACATGGGGAGGTTTAGATTGGATATTAGGAGACTTCTTCACTGAATGAGTTGTCAACCACTGGAACAGGCTGCCCAGTGAAGTGGTTGAGTCAATATCCCTGCAGGTATTTAGAAAATGTGAAGATGTAGTGCTTAGGGACATGTTTTAGTGGTGGTCTTGACAGTGTTTGGTTAATGGCTGGACTCAGTGAACTCAGAGGTCTTTTTCTGCCTAGATGATTCTATGATGAACAATTTCTTGTGTCCTTCTTCTTGATCATATTGTTAGCACTACATTGTGGTGTTAGATTAATCTATTTTTCAGTGACATTTCCAGGCAGAGAATTTAAATCAAACTAATTCATCTACTATGAATATAAATCTGTGATAGGAATTCTTTTATATGAAGTTGTGACAAACCCCAATCTTCAAATTCAGCTTCTTTAGTTTAAGACAAATGCTGAATTTACAATAATCCCCTCCCACTCTTACATCCCACTTCATTAAACACCTTTCCTCTGCTTAAGGTCATCGCAGAAGTTTTGTCCCTGAACTTCACAGTGCTGAGTCTAGAACTATAAGATGTTTTTTCTACTTCTGAGAAACTGTTTAGTCTGTGAAAAATATTTTTTTTCAGGCTAATTGAAGAGAGATATTGTCTTGCAACCTATGGTAGATGCACAATTTCTCGTGCATAATCCCTGAAACAAACCAGAAACTTAAAGAGTTCATTAAGTTTGTTGAAATGTTACCCACTTTTGAAGGTCCTTTACCAAAAGCAATAGCTAGAATAATGATTTGCCAACAAATACACTTTTCTTTCTCTTGAAAGAAAACAAAACACTAGCAATAGTCAGGTAGATGTCAAATTTTAATGCTGGTCCTTCAGTTTTCTGACGTCAATAATTTAAAGAGGACATTGAATTTCTGTAGTTTTAGTGGATCTCTAAAGGACTTAGCAAATAGATGGTGGTCAAAAAAGCTGCATAATACAGCCTAAGCTCATGTGAATGACAAATCTGGGTGTCTGTGCCCTTTCAGAAACCCCCAGAGTCCTCATATGACAGGAGTGAGATTAGCTGTCATCTTTAAATCATCGAAGCCTGAGATCAAAAAAGGCTCCTAATCTTAACAATTCTTTTCCTGCATATCTTGGTGTAGTCATCAAGGTCAGAACCCGCAGCTATAGTGCTTGTTCCTAATATGATAGTGAAGGAAGTTGGAAATGGATGAGCAATGCAACCAAGGAAACGGAGAAAAAAGTCTGGATCTTGCAGACAAGGGAACACAAATCTTCATATATTCCATGTACGTTGCATATTGAAAACAGAGTTTAAACATCAACTAAGTGCTGAGTAACAGATAAGTCTAGCTTTTTTTCTTCTATCAACATTTTTTAACACTTATTCTGCCCTACACTTTTCTACCCATTTAAGTTAGCCCAGAATTTTCTCTCATCCTATTCTCTTTTAGTACATTGTGTTTTATTATAAAAAACACAGCACAATAAAGGGCAGTTACAATTCAATTATTACCTTTATTACCAATGGTTGCTTGGCACTGTGAAGATTGCTTTCTGATAGCCCAGATCCATACAAATGTCTTCTAGAGAGCTCTACCCCTCACTCTGAGAGAAGGCTACCTGTGCCTGAGTCGGTTCCCAGGACAACACTCATCAGCAGAGGAAGGAAGAGAACCAATGTGCCATTACATTAGGCTGAAACAGCTCTTCAAAACTTAGTATTTATTGGCAAACCATATTTCCCATTTTGAAGTCTTCCTCGTTGAAGGAGAAGGGTTGGACCAGGCTTTACATGTCTAAGTGGTGGTTTTGAGGTAGAATAAACGTTTAAAATGTAATGATTAAGCTAATAAGCCACTCTGAGCAAAGCTTAACTACTCCTTTGCATGTACCTGTAGTTCACTTTTCTCATTCCTTCCACAGAGGCAAGCACTGAATTAGAAAGGTTAAAAAAAGCACATTTCCTGCTGCAGGAGCCAGCAAATGTATCTCTTCCGTTGAATGAATATAGCACTGAATGTTCTTTAGATTCCTGTGGTTGGAATTCATAGTAGTCCTTTAGTACAGTGGTTTCCAAAGTTCTTTGATCAAGGTAAATCTTTTGAGTACACATTCCCAATATATCTACATTTATTCATTTATGAATTATGTGCATGTACACTGTACTATATATACGATGCACATTCTAAATCATACACAAGAATAGAAACTTAAAAAAGGATGAGATAAAGATTAAATAAACACTATTTTTAATTTTTAAAATATTCTATCTTACTTATTAATGTCACAAAAAATATTTTCCTCGTGCACCCCAAAGGATTATCTTGCACACTCCCTAGGGTGTATGCAACCCACCCTCCCATTTTAGAGACCACTGTTTTAATGGATGTGCTAGAGTGCACTGAGCACCTTCTCAGTAGCAGTAGTAACAGTAGTAATCTGGCCACAGACCACACACTTGATTTTAACATCATATTCACATGAATTTTTCGGTCTTTCAGGTCTAATTCATCTTCTTTGAGTCTTCTGGAATAACTGTGGCTGGTTTAAGTTAAAAACATTGTTCTTATGGTATTAGGAAGTGATGAAGTAACATCACATTAACTTGAATTTTTCAGTCTTTCAAGTCTAATTCATCTTCTGCTTTGAGTCTTCTGGAATATCTGTGGCTGGTTTGAGTTAAAAACACCATTATTATGGTATTAGGAAGTGATGAAGACTTGACAGTAGCTGTCTGCTCACTTCCTTTTGAAGTGAATCACAGAAATTAAATAAGATAGTGTTTGTCATTTATTTAATTGTTTGGAAATGACTGTTTATTAAAAAGTACTGGAAGAAGGCTGATGTATTTGCAGTATTGACTTCAGCACATGAATCAACATTGTTATCTGAAACACTCTTCGATTTAGACCTGAATGTACAGTATGTTATTTAACTATGAGCCTAGCATAAACATTAATTAAAACCTACCTTTTAAATTCTGAAAATATTTTAAAATTTTCTTTGGTCTTCCAAATTTAAATATTAATGTAAATCCTGTAAAGCGTTGTGCTTTTCTGTTTGTTTTTATGAAGACCAAACATTTGAACCCCACAATTTTGCCAGGAGTGGAATACAGAAGGAGAGCAACTGCCTCCAGAACTGTTCTTCCCCAAAACAGGACTTTGAGGGTGACCTGGGCTGGACTGGACTGAACTGCTGCTGTAAAGAACAGATTTCAGCCCTCTGCTCTGCTGTCTCTGATGAGCATGCCACTGTAGCACCAATCTTCCGCAAAAACTCCAATCTCAGAACTTCGACTTTTCAGAAAAAACACTTTTACCGTTTATACCAAATAATTAAAATTGTAATCAATAAGTTTAGGTAGTCTAGTCTTTTAAACTGATTTTTTGGTTTTCTATCCCTCAGAAAATCAAATGTAGTGTTCAGCTTCTATTTTCCTCACTGTAATAACTTCATCTCCATCTCCATCCCCCTTGCCAAGTTCTAGTGGTCTGGAAAATGCCAGGCTGCCCTTAGGCATAATTAGAGAGTTGCTGAACCCCAACACGTAGGAAAATATGGATAGCAGAAAGTTCACTGAAAATCCCTCTCCCTGTTTGAACCAAGTAACACATAAATCATGTAAACAACTTACATGTAATTGTTCTTATTATGCCACATTTTTGCCACTGGTGTTTTTAACTTTAATGTTTAAAACTATTAAAGGAGTAACCATACATTATCTCTGCTTTGCAATAGCGACACTATCCCTCACTTAAAAGCTAGGAGCTATTATCTTGCCAAATTAAGGAAACCTCCTAATGATTCCATTGGTGGGATAGACACACATTCTTCTCTTGATTTCTGTCGGTGAAAAGATATTCACATTTCTCTAGAGCCTCTTCAACAGCAAAGAGCCTGATCCTGCTCATGCTTAAGTAAAGAGTTCCCACAGAGTTAACTGGAGATGGAGAGTAGACCATGGTCAAAAGTACTGTAGTGTACAGGCATCATAATAGCATCTAGCTGGCAAGAAGATGAGCAAGCACATCTGTTCTGAACCATTAAAATGATATAAGGAAATTACCTTTAAACCACCTGCAGGACAGTAATTCCACACAATCATTACAGAGTCATTAAAAGTTAATGTAGAAAAAACACCACTGTGGGAAATGCAATCTTCTTCTGTGTTTACTAGATACTCTAAAAATGTGAGGAGAGAACAGTTTGAAAACTATTGTGTCAGATGATTATGCCTTGTCTCCAAAACATATTGTCTCACATATTTCTTATGTCACAGGTTAGACTACTTTCCACATTTTCAAGACATACTGAGAATTTCCATGTTGGACATACCATGCACAGGGCAGCAGGATTTGGTACCCCAGTTGAGGAGATATTCTTGAACAGTAGTATAGGCATCTGAATGTCAGTTTTTGAAATCCTTATGTTCAAAGTAGAAAAATGAAGATGGCTATAAGCAATATGGACATAAGAAAGATGTAGTACAATTGGGGAGGGGACATAGTTATTCATATTAGGATCAAAGAAAGAATAGAGAGAAAAAATAATGGAGTGCAATAGAGGAGACTAACGTTTTAGATCAAAATATGAGTTATATATTAAATGATGTAACAGAGAATATTGTGATTAAATACTGGAATATTTGCTTTTAAACCTTTATTACATAGACAACATGAATGGGAAGGAACTATGAAGGGAGGGGAAAGAAGAATATTGCTTACAGATGTGTTCATCTGCTCTGAGGGGCAGAAAGTCATGGATGACAGACCAAGCTGGAAGAGGTATATGGAAAGCACTACCTAATAATAATAATAATAATAATAATGGCCAGTCTTCGCGAACGAAGATCTGGGGAAAGGTCTTTTACCTTTCCAGCCTGCGCAATGGATTTTTTAGGTGAGACACAGCCTGCGCTGAACTGAGCCCACCCTTTAATCCTAAGGTTCATGTGCCGGGGCCAAGCAAGCTTGGACAATGGCAGTGAGGTCCTCAGGACGTAGGTTTGTTTAGAGTGACCTTCTCATAGATGGATGGCCTTACAGGGCTAACGGGCTCCATCTGCCCGGGGGAACTGGCTGGATTCGAACCTGGGTTGCAGAGGTGAGAGTCCTGCATGCTAACCACTAGGCCACCAGGGGTCCCCAAAGCACTACCTGTTGACTTTGTTAAGACTTTGACATTGTCGCCCAACGACAGTTTTGTAAACAAACTATGGAAATGTAAGTTTGGACAAAAACATTGGGAGTAGGAAAGCTCCATGTACATGGGGAAAACTGTATCTGATGTAGAATCACCACTATGGCCCCATTAATTGGAGAAATACATTGTGTGGGGTGTTTTCTTTAATGGCTGAAAGGAGGGGATAGAAAAATCTTATTAATTTCAAATAGGATTAGAGGCAAAGGAGCTGCATGTAGTTTGGAAGGAAAAAAAAAGAATGAAAAATTAATTTGGCAGATTGGAGGAAAGGTTTGAAATCAAGAGCATGTAATGTAAGAGGAACAAGCTCTGGATATTATAATGATTTAATTTAAAAAGCACAT